GAGGGGGGGCAATAGCCTATGGGTCTAAAAGCAGAGTAGTCTCTCTTCAAAATATGACGCCAAAAAACATGGTAGTTACAAATCGTATCTGTATCAGGAAAATTTGAGGAATATAATTAAAGAGTAAATAAAAAATGCGAGGCTCAAGCATTATGCCGGTCCCAGGGCCCTGGTTTCTTATTTAAAAGAGATGCTGTTTTTCTCAAGATTGGCTCATCGCTTTGTACGATGGTTTTAAATACCCAATAGATTCCTCGATTGTGACAGAACTACACCAAACACTTACACGAACAGAATTCTACCAATTAGTGAATTCATGCAAAAGCTATCCCCAGTCAAACCTCTTAAATAAATTGCAAATTTTCATTCATTACTGGCCTCTAGGCTGGGAGCCTTGAACTGCTCGATAGGTCTGAAGCAAGAAATGTCATAAAAACAGCATGTCAGTAACTGGTTTGATCCCAAAGAAACACGAAATAATCGTTCTTTCCTGGCCAATACAAACTTCTCCAGTAATCCTAAAAGCTCTTCAATCTAGCCACCCAGTGGAGTCACACGATAATTCGAGCAAAGAGGGAGGAACAATTACAGAACTTCATTCAATCGCCGTAGCGAAAATAAAGAAATGTTCGCAGGTTTAACTACAAGTAACAGAATGCACTGGACGCTCACTGAAGTACAGCCAAATAAGGGAAATGGTCTGTTGAAGTATAATGCGAATGTGGATTATATTTAAAGAGGAAATAGGTTGAACTGTTCAAATCTTTATCCTTAGCTAGATAATAGTTTTGCGAAGTCTTTTTTGCTTAGAAAGGAGATTACTCAACATTGCTCGCGAGACAAAGCTTAGTCGATCTTCTTTGCTAGAAAAGCCTCAAAACCCTCCTTGTCTGTTCCATAGAAGGAGGCAAGGTATAGGGGTATCGACAAAATGAGGACTTTGTAATAAGTATTACATTAAGCTAGATAATATTGCGACAACAAAAACGTGAAAGGAGGACCCAAATGAAAGGGACTCTCTACTGCGACTTTTAAACGACTTTTATTTTTTTTCACAAACATGATCATTTATTATATATACAATCTTCTTGATTTCTTTCAGTTTATGAATGCATTAAATTCTGCACTGAACGTATTTGTATGGATTATTTTCTGCTCAGTTTTGAATTCAAACGCGTTAATTCGAACAAGAGAGCTAGGTAATTTTTTGATAATGCCAGCTGAAAGATCCTAGGGGCGAATATGAATGCCATGAAATATGGAGAGAATAGCGCGAATGCATACCTCTCACTTGGAAGTATGGCGAATTTGAATAGCAGTAGGAAGATGAGCCAAGGTCCAAGTCCATGACAGCAACTTTCAAGCTGTTGCTACCGACGTAATACCTCATGTAACAGTAATCTGGGCTCCCGGAAGAATATCTGTTTGGCCAGCCAGCGGAATAGAACACACCTGCCTGACCAGATGTGTAGCTGAAAAACAATTTGGTGTCATTCTACAGTCTCTACCACAATTATCTACAAAGAAGGTATTTGATAAACTAATGTTTTATTATAATAGAACAGTGAAAGTCGATTTGAAAACACATGCAACAGAAATTAATAGAAAACAAAAGGAAACAACAATTTAGGGCGAATGATGCTGATATGTTGCAATCTTTCTCCAGTCTACTGTAAATATATCTGCTATTTTAGGCACTTCGTCTCGAGGCATTTCGCTGGCAATCTAAATTTCCCACTGGGAAATAGTATATATAGGGGCATACAACAAAACAAACACGCTCTAAGGGGAAACAACGTTTCTAAGGGGAAACAATGCACCCTTTATGAACCCAGAGCTGAAAAAAGCGATGTACACACGTGCTAGGCTTAAACGAACATTAAATAAACACCGTTCAAAGCAAAATGAAGTAGCTTTCAAGAAGCAGCGAAATCACTGTGTTGCTCTCCGTAAAAAGGCCATAAAGAATCACTTCAAGAGAGTTAAAAGCAATGGCCTCATGTCCAATAAAGCATTCTTGGATCTGGTGAAACCTTTTCTCTCAAATAAGGGTGTTCTAGCTGGTACCGATATTTCCCTGATTAAAGATGACAAAATAGTCACTGATGACCATGATTTAGGTAAGATTTTTAATGATTACTACATAAATATTGTCGAAAATACTTCTGGTAAGAAGCCTTCCAGTATCGCCAATGCGAATTCGATTGGCGATGATCGCGAAACTGTAAGGTTAATTCTTGACAAATACAAGGATCATCCAAGTATTCTAGCTATAGTTCAAGACCCTGAGCAAACTTTTCAATCTTTTACTTCAATGAGGTTACTGCTAGTGAGG